GGAAATTAAAGAAAATTTTCCATAGGATGGTTTTTCGAGCAGGATATTAATTGTTCTAATTCGAATTTTGAAAACTATTCAGTGTCACTATTCGGTGAAATCGTGCGCTGCAGTCTGCGGACTGGGAACAGACAACTGCGTGATGGTTCCCAGCGACGATCGAGGACGCATGATTCCGTCGAAACTCGAGGAGCTGATTATGGAACGCAAGGCCAGAGGACACATTCCCTTCTTCGTGAACGCTACTGCTGGAACCACCGTCATCGGAGCATTCGATCCTATTCCTGAAATCGCTGATATCTGCCAGAGACACAAGCTCTGGCTGCACATCGACGTAAGTGGCACCAGTCAACTGCCATTAATTTCTATTGGGCGAAAGAGAACACTTTTAAAATTGACGCTTTTTCATAATTAAATATATTAATCTTACTTTTTAATTTAATTTTCAAATTCTTCGAAACTTCATATCTTCCTCGAGGCACAAAATGTTTTAAAATAGAATTCATTTCGGTCATGTCGCGTGTGAAAATTTAAGAAACACGTATTCGATCGAGCAATTGAATATACAGTATTGAGGATGAAAGTGTTTCGAAGCTAGAAAGGGACAACAGAGATTTCCACTTAGCCAGACAGCTTATTCAAATCGGTTCAACGTTCGAACGATAAATGCCAAACGCGTAAGAGCCTTAGCGTAAATAATAAATGTGAGAAGCGTCATGTAGTCGAGGGCAGTTTCACTACTGGCTAAATTGAGGACAAAATTCGGAAAATCTAGGCTTTGCGAGTCAACGTTTACAAAGTCTTTAACACGGTCCTTCGTTTCTCCCGTTGTTTCGCGTAGTTTTCTTTTTCTTTTCTGGAATTTCAGGCGGCTTGGGGTGGTGGACTGCTTCTTTCAAGAAGATACAGACATCCTAGAATGACTGGCATCGAACGGTGAGTGAAACGAACGAATTATATTGTTGAAACAATCCCTATTAAAAGCATGACGCACTTTCACCCTCGAATCGAGCTCTATTTTCGATCAACCAGAAACACCTCCACATGTGCTCCGTAGAGGGGTGGCTTAATCCTCGCGCTTTATAGTTTATTGAGGCTTAGTTTGATGGAGTCACTCGGAGAGAGGAAGTAGAGACTGTGCACAAAAGACGGAATCGATAAGGCTTCTTTTCGAAGCTGCTAAGATGCCTCTGACTTTCAGGCTTTGGAAAAATCACTTTGCATGAGAATGGGTCGGGAACTGCATGGAAATTGACAAACTTGGAAAAGAGATTCGGGAAATCTGTAAGAACTAACAAAATTAAAGCTGAAATTTTAAAAATTTCAACCAATTAACAACAGTGCAAAATAAGTTTAGAACATTTGCAATAAAATTTCTAAATTTTTAGCAGAAATATTAAATATCTATCTCAACGAATAAACTCATCAAGAACTCTGTAGAAATCGAAAAACTTAAGAAGGAAATTTAGAAAGTCCTAAAAAATCTCAAATCTAAAACTGAAACCTACAAATTTATACTACAAAATAAAATTACCGAACGAATTCAAAAAATTTGCAATAAAATTGTCAAATTCGTTAGAAAAGATATTTAATATCTACAAAATTTGATTGAAGAGATTTGAAGAACCTACAGAAATCGAAAGATAGAAAAGGGAAATTTATAAACTCCGCGAAGAACCTGAAATTTAAAGATCCCCGAAACCGTAATAATTTCAAGAATCTCCAGCGAAAAGGGAGATTCGAGGCGAACGAGAATTAGAAGGATCAATTAATTGACGCGGAAAAAAGGGATACCTGCAGGCTGTCGAGAGACAGTGTCGTAATCCGTAGGAATCGAGGGGCGACAGAAAGGAGTGACTCCTGTCCTCGACACATGCGAACTTTCGCATACACAGCCGCGTGGCACGAGTGATGTCCGACCCCTCGTGTTGCAATGGGGGTCAGGGATAGGCCGATTCGGGCGTAGCTCAGATGGGGTTGGCGAGATTAATCCACGATTTGCATCCGGCCGCATCTGCTCCCTTCGTTCAACGCCAGACAGTCCGTGACCCGAAAAAAAGTGGCACGAGGCGTGCCGGGAAAATGATTTCCCAGTGAAAAGTCGCCGTTTTCGCGGAAACTATCGAATACCTTGACCGTACTTCCGCCTCGTGGAATTCCGTGCAGCATTTTTCCGCGACACACGGCCAGATATTAACGACGATCGGAATTTTCTTCGTACACAGAGAGGATATACGTGGAACAAAGGAATGCGCGAATTTCTCATTCCCACGCAGAAATCTGTCGTGCTTAAATATCTCTCTCTCTCTCTCGTGTGGTAAATCTTGGCAACGTGAAATTCCAATAATGGAACCGGAAAACACGGTGAACAATGGAACGTGGTCTTCGTATGAAAATAAATTGTCAACCTTAATACGATTTAACCCTTTTCTTCATGATTGAAAATAAAATGAAATAAAGTTTAACTTTTCAGTTCAAGGATTAATTCGGTGAACAGTTAACTTAACTAGGTTCAAACAAAAATTGAATCTCTCTTTACACCTCTCTAATTTAAAAAAATAAATAGAAATTGTAACCAGTTATTTCATTTTGCTTCTTGCAAATTTGAATATGACAAACTTTTCATTTCACACAGTCATCAAGGTGCAATTTTAAACAAACAATCCCTCAACAGATAAATTACATTGATAACCAACGACGAATTAATTCGTCTTACTCGCAATCAGTTAGATAAGACAGAGGATTAAACAATCGTCTACAATAAAGTACGACAACGTGAAATTTCAGCAGCGGCGCGGATTTCCTGGCTGCACGGACTGTACCCCAGGACTTCCTTCCTGCGAAGGTCTTGATTAAAATGGCAAACGAAAAGTCCGAAGGACGAGCAACAGCTGGATCAGTTCCCTGGAGCGCATTTGCAGAACAGAACTCTCCTCTTTATATATCGACGCGCCGCCGCATCGTACCGTGCCTTCCGCGGGCCTGAAATAAAAGACCGTGCCTCGGCAATGCTGGATTAAACTCGTACAAAGGGAACACAGCTTCCCTCGTTCTCTCGTTGTCTGTCTTCTCTGTCGTTCCCCCCGCGCGCGCCTCATCTCCTCCGCTTCTCCGTTGTTCCTTCTTCCAACAGCACGGTGCAGACTCTTGAACAGGAGCAACAGAGAGAGAGAGAGAGGAATCGTGATTCCGACGTCGCGACAAAGTCAGAAATGATTACGCATAAAAGGTCCCCAGAATGGGCAAGGTCTGCAGGCGGAAGTGAAGTTGAAAGTTCGCGTCCTCCTCTAGCTGGATTCGACCGCTTTGTCGCGTCGGAGGCTGCATTACTTCTTCCCTTCGTTTTATTTCGCCTTCTGTACACACTTCTCCGTGAATCGCGTGGGGAATTTCTCGATTCTCCAAGGCACGATTATTCTTCCTTCTCTCGTCGATGATCGGTGGATGTTACTGAGGAGTAACGAGGTTTGGAAAATTTGGGAGAGAAGGTACTGGGAAGTTAAAGGCGAAAAATAGAAAATTGGAAATTCAACTCTTTGACGGTCTAACGGATTTTTTTAATTATGTCCCTTTCAACTTTCTTCCTAAGAATCTCTCTTGAGTTAAATAGTTCAATATTTCACTCTTTGCCCGAGTCTCACGCGGGATAAACTGCCGAAGGGTTGAAGAAGTTTAAGAAGAAATAGAAATTTTTGTAAAATTCTACAGCAGAGGCGTGGTGAGTGACATAATTTCCACCATGATACAGTGAGAATTTCGGCTTCAATTTCACTGCATTCAGGACTCGGTAAATTGTGTATTAATTATTCTTCGTCAAAGGGTAACGAGTTTGGCAGTTTCGATTGCTAGGTAGTTTCTTTTCTCAGCCACCTTCTTTTCCACGCGTTTCAGCGGCGAGGGAGGATAATTAGCAACCCTCGTAATATATATTGCGCGGCTTTTGGGGTTGGCACCTAGGACGAATTTAAGAGTGAACCACCGAGGGGTGGTGCACGCGCCAGCCCCAGCTGCGAATCACATTAATCACTCGAGCTTTATGTACGGACATTATGCATACTCTTAACGCCAGCTTTTTTAACTAACAGAAAATCAGGGCGTAATTGCCTTGTTCAATCTTCTCCGAAGGAAACTGCAGTGAATTGCAATTTTTCAATTAAACTCGCTCGCCCACTCGTCCAAATAATTGCTTTGGAACGTAAATAAAATATAATTGACGCTAATTTTTCTGCAGAATACAGTGAAAATTGTCTAAAAGTTTCTTTTAAATCACTGCTGACACTTGTCAGTGATACAAAGTTAAATTACTACGACCAATTTTAATTATAATTCTCCATCGATGGGTATAGTGTCTGTATTTTGCCATTCACTGTAAATTCACGTTTAATTCATAGTAAATTCGTTGGAAAGCAACATAAAGTGCATCGGAGTAGTGAACAGTACGAGCTCTTGGAAATGCTGTACGATACAACAGCACGATAAACTTGTACGTTGAAGAGGATGCAGAAGAGTGACTAATGGCAAACGGCTGTCGCCGACACGAATCTCTTTTCCTGGTTGCTTCAAGTACCCTCGCATCATCCACAGCGTAGTCAACAGACACGAGGGACAGTGTCGCGATATATGTGTCATTTGCCAAGTATCGATAACGTTTGTCATCGACCGGATGGCCATGCGCCGCCTGTCTGCACGGATACGTCTGATTCTACTTCAATGGTATTCACTTTTAGCCACGCTACCAGAAAACCACACGTTCTGAATAATTATTTTAGAGCTTAAATAAAATACACTCGACGCTAATTTCTACTCAATCGAGTGTAAAAAAAGTTACCTAAATGTTGATTTAAAGTGAATTAAAGTCACGTTGGAAATAATTAACTCATTAGCAGATTTGGGGATCAACTTTGTCCCTTAATTAAATTCGCAATGGACATTGAGGATTCTATGTAGCCTCGTAATTCTACATTTTGGAACGTCTACGAGGCCAGAATGATTCTCATAACGTACTAAATTAATTCGAGGAGGGGACACAGATGATTCTCGAATTGAAATTATTCGCGACACTTGTTACAAATTATATTTTTGGCAAAATGATCTTCAATCTTTAAAAAAAGGATTAACGCACAGTGTGAAGGATTGTTTGAAAGGTGGAGCAAGCAACACTTGTTGAACCTTCCGAATTGCATCGCAAATTAGCGTCAAGTAGTACACAGGTTCTCGCACCTCTCAGCGGCAAGCATTGAGAAGGGTTAGGAGTTTTTACCACAAGGGTGTGTCTCTTAGGAGTAGAGGGTTAAATCCAATCCCGTGGCTATATTAATAGCTCCTCTCTCGAATTGATGGACCCCCACGTGGTACGAAGGGAAGATAGCTCATATTTTATCCCCTATTGGTCCCCGTGGGAGTGGATAACCGTTGGACGACCAGCTGAGCTCGCTCGCTCGCCTTTCTCAGCCACCTACCTCTTTTCGACAGGTTGCCGATAAAATCTGTTCGGGGCGCATTTTTCCATTCATTATCCTCTGTCGATAAGTGAAAATGAATCGTAGAATCTTTTCTTTTCGGGTCTAAAAAATTTCTCACTTAGGATATTGTGTATCTTCGATATTTTTCTGTACTTCTCACTCCTCTAAAAAATATATTTCTAACTATAGCTTTGTCATTCCACTTACAATATTTCGCTATACCTCTCACTCCTCTGAAATATAGATTTCAAAGTACACCTGTACCATAATTTACGTAAAATTGTTCACAGCGCCGACTCCGTAACCTGGAACCCCCACAAACTCATGGGAGCGTTGCTTCAGTGCTCGACGATCCACTTCAAAGAGGACGTAAGTCTTGAACGATCATTTCAACACCCCACCTCGCTATACCAAAAATTAAATCCATTTCAACGTGATACTCTTCCATCGATCTCTCCCCAAATTTTCTTCAAATACCATAAACATTTCTCTGCTGCACCGTGTTTAACTCTCATCCGTCCCTCGTCTCAGTTTCACATATTTGTAGAAAAAATTTTTTTAGAAATTTTCTACATTTAATAAAAGAATTTACAAAATTACTTATTTATCTTTTCATTTCATTGATTTTTTACCATTGTGTCAAATTAACACCGAGGGACCTATCAAGATGCGAAACTGAGGGACGGATGAGGGTTAATAATTCAATTCGAAATATCCAAATCGAAGTATTTTTCGGGGCAATTGTACTTACGTCGATTCCTCACTCTCGCAAGGGTAGAAACATTTCACGATCCTCCTTCGCGACATACATACGTACATATGTAAGCGTGTATCCAAAGCACGCGCGATGCATCAGCCAGACGAGAAAATCGACAGCTCGAGACCGTGGACCAAGGGAAATTCCGGTCTCCTGGAAGGGCGATGACACAACAGTGGCTGCATTCCGAGGGGCTACACGTACACGTCGGAACGCAGCACTGCAGGAATTTAATTAAACTAAGAGATAACATATGTTGCCGACCGTACCCACCACCGCCTGCCCGAGGGTTTATCCCTCCCCCTACGCCTGCGTGGTTATTGCTAACTCAGAACTTCCCCTTCGGATATTAAAATTCCGTGCACCGGCTGCCGCGAAAACGTTCCAAGGGAGATCGTGCCCGGTTCTTTTCCTCCTTCTTAATATCGTTATCCTTACAGAACGACCGGGAGAAAAACAGTTTCCAGGGGTCCCGAGTTAAAAAATTGCACCAATTTGCAGGGGTCGAGGATGTAAATCTTGCAACTTTCTATCGTCTTACCTTGAAATTTATTCGAGTTTAAAGGGCGTCAATTTAGTTCGACAGCGCGAAAAATAAGCGATCTTTGAGAATTTTTTTTGGCTGAACTAAGGAAGGTATCGTAATAATTCTTGACTCTGATGGAAGAGGCATTCTTGTGCTATTAGAAACAATTTTTTTCAATCGAATTTTTAATATCGTTATTGTAAATTTTATCGCTTGTGTTAGCACTGTGAGTCTGTATGAGCTGACAGTGTTAAAACTGGTAAAAATGATTTGAACGCAAATAATTTCTAATATTGTTACTCTTTGATAGTTAATGCTGGCTTTTAACTATCTGATAAAGGAGAAAATGGAAGCTTATAGGACGAAATGGTCACTGGAAATGTTTTATACTCTAAATTTCTAGATTTTAATTTTCTTCTATACAAAGAACTCTCGGAGAAGCTTTAAATTTAATCCTTGGGAAAATAGGCAGTCTTGGGTGTATCTCTTTTCTTCCGGTACGTTTCTCGCCCTTAGAGAACGGAATTAATCTACGATCCTGATTGGTGGACGTTCGGTTCCAATTCAATTAACCTTTACGACACTCGAGGAGTCGTGAAATCGTGGAAACACAATGGCGGACGGTTAGAACGACAGAGTTCCAGTCGCCATATTGTAAATTCAATATCCCTCAGTTTCCCTCTTCCTGCGCATGAGTTAAGTTCCCATATCGACCGGTAGCCGTCTCTCCATTTGTTCCTGTTCGCGCCTGTCAATCAGAAACTTTCCCGAACACGGTTCGAAACGCTCATTGTGGTCCGCAGGATGAATAGGATATAACGAAACAAAAAAAGAAGAGAGAGAAACTGAAAACAAAAAAATCGAACAGCAGACGAGACGATGGTCTCTCCCCTCGTTCGCGATGCATTCGCCTCTTTATTTTCCAGGGACTGCTGATTAGCTGCAACCAAATGTCCGCCGAGTATTTGTTCATGACGGACAAGCTGTACGACGTGAAATACGACACTGGTGATAAAGTGATTCAATGCGGACGTCACAACGACGTGTTCAAGCTTTGGCTGCAATGGCGAGCCAAGGTAAAAGAAAGGATAGAGAAGGAAATTTAGGAACGATTTAGAGGCTCAACTGGTTAACTTTGTGAAACGTTAGTTTGAAGATTAGTGAAGATGATCGAGAGAATTTTTCTTTTTCGTTCGGATGTGTAGGGTACAGAAGGATTCGAGAAACACATGGATCGACTGATGGAACTTTCGGAGTACATGGTCAGGAGGATCAAGCAGATGCCTGATAAGTATTACCTAATCCTGGAACCTGAAATGGTGAACGTTTGCTTCTGGTACCTGCCGACACGCGTGAGGAACATGCCACATACCGCTGAGAGGATCAAGATCCTTGGAGATGTGAGAGTTGTTATATCTTTCGAAGCAGTGAACATTTCCCTGGCTGGATTTCAATTTTTCGTCTTCCTAATTCTTCTGTGCTTTATAATTTCGTCTTTGGAAGCATTGATAATTTTTCTATATGAATTCTGAATTCTCCTCTTTCCAAATCTTCCATCTTTCAAAGCACTGAAGTTTTTTGCATATAAATTCCAAATTCTCCTCTTTCTAAATCTCCCATCTTTCGAAGCACTGCATACTTTTCTCTCTGAATTCCAAATTCTCCTCTTTCTAACTCTCCCATCTTTCGAAGCACAAAACACTTTTCTCTCTGAATTCCAAATTCTCCTCTTTCTAACTCTCCCATCTTTCGAAGCACAGCATACTTTTCTCTCTGAATTCCAAATTCTCCTCTTCCCAATTCTCCCATCTTTCAAAGCACTGAAGTCTTTTGCATATGAATTCCAAATTCTCCTCTTCCCAATTCTCCCATCTTTCGAAGCACAGAACACTTTTCTCTCTGAATTCCAAATTCTCCTCTTCCCAATTCTCCCATCTTTCGAAGCACAGAACACTTTTCTCTCTTAATTCCAAATTCTCCTCTTTCTAACTCTCCCATCTTTCGAAGCACAGAACACTTTTCTCTCTTAATTCCAAATTCTCCTCTTCCCAATTATCTCCCATCTTTCGAAGCACAAAACACTTTTCTCTCTGAATTACAAATTCTCCTCTTTCTAACTCTCCCATCTTTCGAAGCACAGAACACTTTTCTCTCTTAATTCCAAATTCTCCTCTTCCCAATTCTCCCATCTTTCAAAGCACTGAAGTCTTTTGCATATGAATTCCAAATTCTCCTGTTCCCAATTCTCCCATCTTTCGAAGCACAGAACACTTTTCTCTCTGAATTCCAAATTTCCCACTTCTCAATTCTTCTATATTTCATAATTCTCAGTTTCCCAATTCTTTTTTAGGTAAAATCTTCACTTTCCCTCATTTCCTCGTTAAATTGCCAGTAATGTGCAGTAGAACGAGAAACCTACTTCTGTTCCCAGATTTGCCCGATCCTGAAAGGTCGAATGATGCAAGCTGGAACGCTTATGGTCGGTTACCAGCCAGACGATCGACGACCCAACTTCTTCAGGAACATCATCTCGAGTGCCGCGGTAACGGAAGTGGACGTGGACTTTCTGCTGGCCGAAATGGACCGGTTAGGCCACGATCTGTAAAAAACCTGCCTGCTCTAATTAGCTGCATAATCAGCCACACCCACAGTGGCTGTCTATACCGCGAC